AATTGCTTGATATGAACCATAGATCAAAGTTTGCACCTGTGGTTGCCTACCATTTCAAGAAAAATGAAAAAGGAAATTCTAGGAGCCGTTGCTGCTGGTATGGAAAATGTATGCAGGTGGTATAAAAATCTTGTACATTTTGAAAAATACTTTTTTCAAAATTTATAATTAAGTGGTTTATTAACGAATTATTATTGTTAGGTGCCATTGAGCAGACTATAACTCATAGCAACCCTGTGAACAGTGGATCTGAACCTTGTCCTATCCTGCACCATTCTCATGATCTCTTGTCATGCTCAAACCTATTGCTGTAGGCACTGTGTCAATCAATCTTATTGAAGAGCATCCTCTTTTTTTTTCTTTTCTTTTTTCTGATCCTCTACCTTGTCCACCGTAATTTCTTTTTGCAAGGATTCATCCCTCCTGAAAGCATGCTAAAAGTATGTGAGGCTGTTTAATCATCCTTGCCTTTAAGGAGTGTGATGATAGCATTTTCTCCAAGAAATACTTGTTTGTTTTTTTGGCAGTCTATGAGATATTTAGTACTCTTTCCCAACACCGCAATTCAAAGGTACCAGTTATTCTTTTGTTACCCTCATCCATTGTTCAACTTTCAGATGTGTGGGAATTGTCTATCTCACCTTGGTCTTTAAATGGACATCATTGCTCTTTAGAACTTAGGAGAGGCCCTTAACAGCAGATTTTCCCAGTGCAACATGTCTTTATTTTTAAAAAATAAAATTTTATTTTATGCTGGCTTACTTTCATAGCGGTGTTATTAACCATCACAAGAACTTGGAACAGCTCAAATGTCCAACCACAATCAAATGAATTGAGAAATTATGGTATAGTCACATGATAGAATACTATGCAGAACCCAGGAGCAATGATTTTGTAAATTCCTACCTAATTTAGGAGGGACTAGAGAGCATTATGCTAAGTGAACTAACTTAGTCCCATTAGGACAACTACTGTATAAGACCATTATTGTAGAGCATGTATGAGGATCCAAAGCGGGGAGAGTGGGAACAGGGGGTGAGGATGGGCCGGGGCATGGGGTGGTTAATCATAGGGTCACACAATTTGATGGGTGGAGAGAGGGGAGGGTGAAGAAAATGAGAATGGTCCGGTGAACAAAATATTTTTTTATCTCATAATGAAAGTGCAACTTCAATGGCATTTATAGATAAAATATGTACAACACACGTAACACACACAGCATGTGCTAATAGACTATCTATGTTGTCAATTAGGATTCCAGTCAACGGTAGGCAATGAGTAGTTTTATGTTCTGAGAGAGCAAAAAATGATATGTGAATTTTCCACTCCTTGTAGAATCAGTGCTCCTAACCCCTGCATTTTCAAGGATCGAATGCACACACACACACACACACACACACACACACGAAGACAAATAAGCAAAAGTTTTTAAATGGGCAAGAAATTTAAGTAGACACTTGACAAAAAAAGGATACATAAGTGGCGAGTGAGGATGTGAAGAGTTGCCCAACATGATTAGTCATCAGGGAAATGTAAAGAAAAACCACAATGTGATAGCGCAGCATACTTCCTAGAAGAGCAAAAACTGGAAAGTGTTTTTTTCAGTCCGAATAAACGGTGATGGACTGATCAACAGGGCAGAGCGATGCTTTGTTTCTTTATATATGTAGTTGCTATGATCTCTCAGAAAACATAACAGTACCAAGTTCTGACAAAGCTGTTTCATGGTGGCGGAAGTCAGTCACCTCTGGAAAGCCTCTTCCTGTCATCTCCTGGTTAACTAGCTCAGCCTTTGACACCTACTGGTAACATATATGTTAGAATACTCACTCACTGATCCACTCATTGCTGTCTAATCGAGCCAGATTTCCAAGGTTGTAGTTAATTGGCTTTATTACTTCTTTTGATGACCTTTGTCATTCAAAATCATTCTTTCATTTAAGATCATTATCAATTTATCAATGTAGTACATGGTCCCCCTATCAGATACTGATCCTTGTTGGGATTTAGTAATGAAAATAGTCTTAGACTGTGTCCCTCAGGAGCTGGGCTTCAGCTGGGCATATCCCCTATAAAACAAATAGGAAAACAATGACATTCCAAATATCTTGCCAGAGTCTTTTAGTGCAAACATCCAGGGATTAGAAAGAGTATTTAGAAAAGCTTAATGATGTGTGTATGCACTTGAAAGATCCCTCTCTTTAATGCATGCATGCCATCCAATTGAAAAGACATTGACAGGTGTGTGGGCAGGTGCTTGTAGGCAAGAATATGAAACAAATTATGATTGTCTGAAGATGTATCTTTGGGTATTGTCATTGGCAAATCCTGCCAAAGCTACCTTCAAAATCCATTCCCTACGTCCATTCAGTTCTCACTGTCTGCATCACTAGTGTCCTGGTCCACATCCCTCCATTGTCTATGATATTGAGTGGCTCTGACTTGGGTCCACCTTTGGCTCATAGCCTGGAACACCATACGGGTAATGCTCTTGCCCTGTTTAGACCCTCCACACCCTTTCATCACGCTGAGACCACACTGTCTCACACCTGTCATGACCGACTGCAAGGACCTCTCCAGCTCCAGCTCTCACTCTCTACTTTCTCTCCAGATCCACAGGCCATCTTGCGGCCCTCTGACACTCTCTTCTCTGGGCCTTGACTGTTCCTTGGCAGATATGTGAGGTGCTCAAGACCCACTTAATTTTGTCCTGAAAATCTGTTCAAATGCTACTAGCAGCCCTCCTTCACAACCCTGTCCCCATCACTCCCTGTCCTCCCTGAGCCTAATCCCCTCCTTGTGCTTGCCATTGCCTGAGGTCACTTGTGCATGTAGAAGTCGTGCTACACCTCTACAACCTTTCAATGCCTGGTAGGCAGACACGAGCACAGGAGTGTGTGATTCACTGGCTGGCTCTGCTCCACATATATAGATGAACACACAAAAAGATAAAATTCTCACAATTCTACCAGTACCATGTATCATGATAAATGAGGAAGAAATTGAAGTTGTCAAGGATTTCATTCTACTTGGATCAATACTCAGTATTCATGGACACAGCAGTCAATAAATCAAATGGCTAAAATGAACCTGACCTATGCCATGACCTTCTAAATCTCCTCACTGACAACTCAAAGGATTACAGTTCAAATCCATCAGCTGCTCCTAGATTACTTGCCTCTGAACACCCTCTGGAGGGTCAGCTATGGTTTGGTTCTGACTCAATAGTGCACCACTACCATCAAAGCATATGCTTAGTGGACAATGGAAAAGAGGCCAACTAACTGATACATTTGAACTGTGATGATGGTGGAGAGAATGAAAATCTTTCTCATACTGACAGAAGAATGAACAAATCAGTTGTAGAATGATCCTTCGAAGCAAGAATGACAGGAGCTCGCTTAATGAAGAAAGATCAACTTCCAGAAAAGAACATCATGTTTGGTAAAGTGGAAGGTCCATGAAAATGAGGGAAATGTTCCATGAGATAGTTTGACACATAACTTCAACAATGGATTCAAATATATCAATAATCCTAAAGTCGGTGTGGGGCGGAGTGATGGAGTGAGAATTGTTCATTTATGCATGAGATTACCATGAGTCACAGCCAGCTCCCCAGAAACTACTGGCATGAATCACCAGCTAGTTTTTCTCAAGGTACATACAGCTCAGCCTTCCAAAGACACTCTTGGCCCTTGCCCCCAGCTTCAAACATTTGTCCTTTCCAGATAAAACACTTTAAAGTGGATCCGTGTGCGGAGCTGGCTTAGGACTGCAGAGGCCTCTGTGAAAGGGGACATGAAGTGTCCCTAGAGTGTTAGACCAGCACACTCAGGCTCCCTGCCTTTGTCTGGGACTCCCTCAGGTAGAGAAACAGAAACCCCACCAGGAGACCCACCTGCCCCTCATGCCGGCTGTGTTCTCATCCCTGGGCTGTTCCTGTCTGTTGGGTTTTTGTGTTGTTTTTAAATAAAAGGAGAGTCACTGTTCCCGTTCTCGTATGTGATGTTTCTGAAAAGGCTTGCTTACCTTCCTTACTAATTAAAGGGAAGCAGCATTTTTCCTCTCTCTGGTCTGTGTAGTCATACCACCAAAGGCTACTTGATAGCTACCACCAGATTGGGTTACACCGTCTCTCACAATAATGCCATTCGCTGCAATGATGGAGCCGACAAGGCCGAGTGACTTGGCGAAAATATTTCCCTATTGGATGGACTTGTTGGCGGCTTACTCACCATCACACTTACTTTTATAATGAAAAAGGAAACTATTTCTGTGCTTAATGATGGCGGCTCCAGAAATGGTGAGTGAAAGAGAGGTGGGGTGAGTTTTTTTCCAAAAGTAACTTCTTAACATATTGATAGTGTGGTGCTACCTGCAAAGAAAGGGGACTTCCTTGCTCACGGTTGATGCTTCAGAAAAAAATGTTACTGTTGATTCTTATCCTTTTATAGAAACTATGTGGTCTGCTGCATGTGGCTAGTAAGGAATGTGTATCCACCAGAACCAAAGCCAAAGATGACTGAATATGACTTTGTTATCTTTCTAAAATATTCTTCAAAATTGCTCTTGGGATGGAAATGTAGGACACAACTCTCACTTAGATTTTGCTGTGATGATGTGGATGGAGCACGTAGGGAGAGCTTTTGCTTTAAATGCCTTACCAGCTCCCTTTTGAATTTCAAAATTCCAACAAGTAACCAGATAGGAAACAAAAAAATGGAAGCTCCACGTGCCTATTTTAATCTGAGCATTTGGAGGAGGAAGTTCTCTCCTAGAGGATTCCTGGCTGATGGTTGGGAAAGGAGTGGGAGGTAGTTGTCCAACGCTGCCATCTCCTCGCTCTCTGGTCCCTCCGGGGTTACAGGAATGGCTGAGTGGCGCTGGCCTCTCGGTGGTAGGTGCATTTCGCTGAGAGGACACAGAGCCCCACTGTTGGCGAGTTGGAAGCCAGCGGTCCCTGGCTGCTCCTCACTTTGTTACTTAAGGAGGAGACAGGAGCCCGAAGGGCACAGATACCTTCCTCGTTAATTAGGTCATGCTTTTGTGAGCCAGGACAAGGGTTGTGTTCGCTGCGAGCGGCTACCACTGTGCGGGAGCGCACGCTCCCTGGTGCCGTCTACATGCTGGGGGAGCGGACTTTACGTGAGTATTAGAACTTCTTGTGTTCGTAGTAGGTGCTCTAATTACAGAAATGGGGGGAAATCGAGTCTATACGGGAAAGATGAACAAAATGCCTTGGAAAGAATTTGTTTTCTTGCAAATACTTATCCATTATCATCGTAATGGTAATCGATCACATCTCTACAGGTTTGTTTAAGACTGCTGGTAAGATTGGCTTCACCAACAATGGAAAACGCGTTATTTGGGTGGGATGAAGGTTTCAGCAGTGTTTCATTAACTCCCGTAGCTTCTCTCTTTCCTACCTGCCGTGGTTCAGGAAAGAATAAAAAAAAATGTGATCTTATTAAACAAGTATTTGATTAGTCCGTTCTGAACGCACTTTATGTGGATCGTCAAATTTCTAAGATTAAAAATGTAATCGAGTTTTGTTTGATGCTGAAACTATGAACAGGGAAGAGAATGATTTCAGTTCTTCCTTGGTTTAGGAGGTGGAGGTGGAAGTGGAGCCGAATCTCCGAAGCCCTGAAATAGTCACCATGGGGGAAAACGAGCCGCCTGCAGCCGAAACCCCCTTCTCCTTCCGATCGCTCTTTGGCCTCGATGATTTGAAAATAAGTCCCGTGGCACCAGGTAGGTGGGGCCAGGTGGGGCCCTGCGTTCTCTTTCCACTCCTGTCTGGATGATGTATGGGACCAGGTAGGGAAATATCTTCCCAGGTGTTTGCATACACCCAAGTTAGGACACACATATACTCTCTTGGACTTCTCGCATCCCTAAGAGAAGGGCCAAACACCAATAACCTGGAGACCAGTGTTTCTCTCATTCTCTTCAAAGAGTGAGACTGTACATTGCCCAATTCGCCAGAGGTTAGATGCTGGCGAGGGTGTCCTGAAACCTACAGGAAGTACTGAGAACCAGGGTCCCCATCGTTCCTGAAAATCTAAAATAAGCTGGGGGTCACCAAAGGATTTAGATGCTAGATAAAAATGCAACCGTGGCTGGTAGAATTCTTCCCGACAACAAATAAAGGAAAGCAGGTTGTAGAAATAAGTCACAAATACTCTGGGAAAAGGTGAACTCTGTAATAACGAGTGTCCTTTCTCTAGGAAGAACCTATTAGGACTTGTGTAAGTGGGCCACGGGCCTGCTGGTCCCAGAAGTCCAGCTTGGATGCAGATTCTTTGGTGTCATGAATGCAGAAGCTGTAGGCCCAGGTGTCTGAAAGTAAGCAAAAGGAGACAAATACCCTACCTTGATTCCTTTCAAAACACCTGGGTAAGGGCAAGTAGAAAAAGAGGTCTCTGGATAGAACAGGACACATATTTTAAAGACACAGCTCAAAACACTTTGGCACATAAACTTACCCGGCAGGGGAGATCCCATGATCACAAAGGTGGGTTTCTCCAGGGCGAGGTTTATCCATTACATTCTGGATGTGCTGACCCCTGCGATTTCCCCAAACATGGGAAACTCAACTGCATATTATAGTAGTGGAGGACTGAGTTCACACTCTCCTGTCAAAGGAAACACACCACGTTGGCACAAGTGTAAATAAAAGGAAAAATAACCTTGTAATTACTTTGTAATCCCAAAACGAACCTTTTTAAAAAAAAAAAAAAGATTATTATTACTATTAGGTGTTCTTTTCCCATTTTTGCCCCTTATGGGAACCCACGTTCTTGCCTATGGTTTCCATGGCTGGTGCAGAGATACATATTAAAAGTCACACCATTTGCTATGGAACTGGTTTTGTCTCCTTATGACCCCACGTGTGTCAGACACCAGAACTGTGTGCTCCTGAGAGTTTTCAATGGCTGGCTTTTTGAAGCTAGCTACCCAGGAATGTCTTCCTTTCAGTCTGGAAACTCTGCTGAAATCTGTTCAGCATTATGGCACCACACTAGCCTTCACTGACAGGTGGGTCGTGCCTGTGGATGGGGTTCACTAGCCAGGAATGAAATCTGGCTCTCTTGCATTAAAGGCTGGACTCCACCACTGAACTACTTCCCTCTCCACTCCCTTGCCGTGGAGTCATTCTGACTCTGGGTTAGCCAGGTGTGTTAGAACAAACCATAGTCTATGAGGTTTGCAATGACTGGCTTTTGAAAGTAGACAACCAGGCCTTTCTTCCAAGACACCTCTAAGTGAATCCCAAACTCTGATCTTTGGTTAGCAGCCAAGGACTTACTGTTTACTTCCCGGGGATTCATGTTGCAGAGATAGGCCCTTTCCATGTGCTACTTGGTTTTTATAATGAATGAGGTTTTTTAATAGTATCCAAACATACTATCTAATTGATATGCATTTTATTTAGCTACTTTACCATGATACAATATATAATTTCCAATATTTTCATAGTAGAATTAACACAAGACATAGGTGCTCCTTCCAGCTAATTTTAGATTAGTTATGATTAATTTCTAGTAGTAAAAAGAAAAATAATTTTTTATAAATAAAGAAACACTATAAATTGTAGAAATATGGAAAATACCAGTTAATAAAAAATATTCTTAAAAATGGCCTATGGTGACACTATTACTCAGATACAACCCTATAAATATTTTATTATTTGATTTCTTGCTTTCATTTCTCTCTCTTCTTTTGGGAATACAATATACTACTTTTACTTAAGTAGACTACTTTTTTTCTTAAATATTTTAATTTATAACTTAAGTGTTCATTTTTCCATATTGTTGTTATGTGATGTTGAATCAGAACCAACTCATAATTGACCCTTCAGTGGGTTTTCAGAAGCTCTAAATCTCACAGGAGGACATTGCCTATCTCCAAAGCATGAAAGAAATCGATGTTGTTTGTTGTTGTTGTTGTTGAGCACCGTCGAGTTGGCACTGACCTCTACCTGACCCTGTGGTGGGCTTTCAGAGGCAGTTAATGTCATGGGAGGAGATTGCCCGTCTTTTCCCCCACATAGTAGCTGGTGAATTCCAATCATGTGCCTTTGGGATTGAGGTTCACTGCAGCTTGTTACCACTGAGCCACCAGAGCCTAGTGATTTAGAAGCCCATGGGCCAAATACAAATCACCTTATGTGTTTGTAAATAAAGTTTTATTGCAACACAACCCTGCCAATTTGTTCACATAATCATACACTAAGCAGGAACAGGAACAGATGGTTAAAAAAAAAATTAAATATTTACTAGTTGATTCTTTACAGAAAATGTTTGTTGACATTTTAATTACTAATCTAATTATCTCTATAGATAGTTTCCCAGTTAAGAACTTCTGACTTTTATACAACCATAGTTATGGGGAAAACTCTGTAAAATCTATTAAAGTCCAAGGTATATAGTTGTTATTGGTTTGTAATAATAAATTGATATTATTTGGCAATGTGCATTAAACTATTGCTGTTATTATACTGTATTATTATCTTAAAGGTGTTTTAATGTCTCTGGAAGTGTTTTTCTCAATGTTTTTCAAGCATACAAAGTTACTATGCGATATATACTAAGACAAATGCTTGATTAATTAATATTAATTGATGTTATATATGGACTGTAACTAATGATTCTGGCTTGAAAAAAATTTGACTTAAAGACCGTATTAGAACATGAGCTTGTGCATAAACCTGGGACTGGCTGTATATGTACTTCATTATTTTGTTGTTGTTATGTGCCGTCGAGTCGTTTGCAACTCATAGCGACCCTATGTACAACAGCTCTGAATGTGTTATTTCTTATTTCACCAATTCCCATTTGTTATACGTTTGAGCTGCTTCCCATGCTTCAATATTATAAATCTCATATCTGTAGAGGTCCTTATAACTAGATATTCCAGTGCCTTTAGGATGATATTTTAGTACAGATTCCTAGAAATAGAATTATTAGGTTAAAAATGACATGTTTTTAAGATTCTACTGAAGATTATCCAAAAACGACTGGAACAGCACATCAACAGAGAACTACCAGAAGTCCAGGCTGGGTTTAGAAGGGGTCGTGGTACTAGGGATATTGTAGCTGATGTTAGATGGATCTTGGTTGAAAGCAGGGAATACCAGAAGAATGTCTATCTGTGTTTCATTGATTATGCAAAGGCGTTTGACTGTGTGGATCATAACAAACTGTGGCTGACTCTGAGAAGAATGGGAATCCCAGAACACTTGATCGTGCTAATGTGAAACCTATACTTGGACCAAGAGCAGGTCATCAGAACAGAGCAGGGAAACACTGCCTGGTTCAAAATTGGGAAGGGTGTACGCCAGGAATGTGTCCTGTCTCCATACCTTTTCAACCTGTATGCAGAACAGATTATCGGAGAGGCTGGGCTCTATGAGGAGAAGTGTGGGGTCAAGATTGGTGAACGATTTATCAACAATCTACATTATGCAGATGACACAACCCTGCTTGCTGAAACTGAGGAGGAACTGAAGCGCTTGCTGCTGAGGGTCGAGGACTGCAGCCTCCAATATGGATTGAGGCTCAGTGTCAAGAAGACAAAGATTCTCACCACTGGACCAATTGGCAGCATCAGGATGGATGGCGAAGAGATTGAGATTGTTCACAGCTTCAGTTTGCTTGGCTCCACAGTCAACACTCTTGGCACCAGCAGCCAGGAAATAAAAAAACGTATTGCGATGGGAAAGTCTGCTGTTAGGGACCTCTCCAAAGTACTGAAGAGCAATAGTGTCTCTGGAGACTAAGAAGCGTCTGATACAGGCCATGGTCTTTGTAATCACTTGTTATATGTCAGAGATTTGGACAATGACAAGGAGGATAGAAGGAGAATTGATGTCTTTGAGCTGTGGTGCTGGAAAAGAATATTGAGGGTACCATGGACTGCTAGGAAAACAAACAGGTTCATCCTGGAGAGGGTTAAACTGGGCTGCTCCTTGGTGGCAAGGATCCTGAGGCTTCATTTGACATACTTTGGTCATGTTGCAAGGAGAAACTGGTCCTTGGAGAGGGACATCATGCTTGGGAGGATGGAGGGATGGCACAGGAGGGGAAGGCCCTCTATGAGGTGGATTGATTCAATGACTGGGGTAATCGGGATGGGTGTATCAGAGGCAGTGCGATTGGCTCAGGACAGAGCAGAGTTTAGGGCTGTTGTACACAGGGTCACTATGAGTCGCAAGTGACTTGACGGCAAATAACAACAACAACATATTTGCTATTTAAACTTCACAAAAATTTACACAATTTATAACTCAGTGGAGTGCCCATATCCTCTCACTTTGGAACTTAGTAGATATAATACTAAAGCCATTGAAAGTTGATATACAATTGAGATATTTAGTAGTTTGGTATTGTTGGGTTGTTGTTTTTTTTCCATTTCCACAAGTTGAAGGCTTTCCCCACACTTGTATAACACATATATTTATGATTTTTGAGACATGTTATGGAGCATTTGTTTTAATTCCAGGCATATATCTCTTCTATCAGGATATAGATAAGTGTTAACCACTAGGTAAGTGCAGCCTTTGGGTTAATGGATAGAACAACTGAAATAGTAAGATTCCCTTCTTGGAGATTCCTGTTGACTTTTTGGGGTGTAAAACAGAAGATGAGACTCGAAAAATGAGTGCTTTGATAGTTTGGTTAATTGTTAATTTGGAAAGCTGCTTCTTTTTTTTCTTAAATTGGGGTGAGTGTGCATCTAATGTTAAGCCT